TACAACTTTAAGGCAGCCGAGCTCGAGGCACCTTCTCGAAGAACTCCTCGGGATTGCTCTCTTTGATGAGCGCCAAGGGTCGCTCCCTGGCGCAACTGCACGTGACAAACGGAATCAACCCCCAGGGGTTGAGGGATGTGTCTGTTTTTTTGGGTCCCGCCCCAATTGGTTTCCTTCTGTTACATTTAAAGGCAGAAAAAAGGAATAACCTCAAAAATAGTCACTGCCAGATGGTTCATCTTGGAATCCGGCTTTTAAGACGCAAAGAGTCCAACCGGTTTTGCGAACTTTGGGCAATCGCGGCGGGCCGGCCCATACGGGGGCGCCTTCGTGACGTAGAGATAAAGACCTGAAGGCACGTCAAAGTTTCATGCATGGGATGGTTTCCAAGACCTGGGAGCGGTACCCTCTTTTGGGAAATCGGAGACATGCTATCATGGTATCAAAGTAGCGTTCTACACGTTCAAGGGATCCCTATTCTTCCCCTCGATGATCTTCACCGCGAATCCGCAGGCCTCCCGGATTCTGCCCAGCCACCAGCCAAAACCAACCTTTCCCATCGTCCTGGCGCGCTGAACAAAGACAACCCGCCAACGCGGACAAGACCAAACTCAGTGCCGTCTATAATTATTGAACAAACAAAATATTGTACTGCCCCCATGATTTACCTTTTGCTGATTGATTGACAGTGCTCATGCTTAAAGCCAGACTACCAGGTATGAGTTGTAGACTGATGCTTGAGATGTTGAATTCTGAAAGTGAGTGTGTGCAATTCTGGTCTCTCGGGGGGCGTTCCACGTTAAGTTGGGCATGCAAGAAACAATACTGTTTTCTGGTGTTCTACGCTTGCAAAGTGCAAACACACACCGTTGTTTCATGAATTTTGCACGTGCCATAACTAAACCATATATAAGCTCGCGTTGACTCTTCCTAATGCATGCAAATGCATTTAATAAAGAATCTACTCATTTCATAGCAAACCAGTAAACACATCGAAAACCAAACAAAACTCAGGAAAACCAAAAAAACACACAACACAAAATGCAAGCTCTTGGGTATCAGTGGGGTAGAATCTTTGGTTTCAGTCCCAAAGTGTCTTTTGCTTTTCTCGAAGTGTGTGTGTGTGTGATGTGTTCTCTCAGTGTTTTTTTGGTTTGGGGAAACCTGGCCTTCTAAACCACAATCGTAGGCTTTTTTGTTCTTGTGAGGGGTAATATCAACAAAAAACACAAATGCGGGGAATCCAGCAAAAAAGCAAAACACCTCGAGAAAATCAAGAAAATAGAAACCCAAGATTCTCCCCTAGAGATTGTGTTGTTCTGATGTTCTCGAGCTTTCTTGTTTGCTGGTTTTGCCCAAGTTATTTTTTGCATGATTCCTCACGAAAACCTGCAAAGATCGTGTATTTCTTGTTTTCCTTCTGCAACACGCGGAAAACCAACACAAACCAACAAGGACTCGGTGTCTTGTTGGTTTGTGGGCGTTGCGCATCGAGTTGTCGAGATCTGCTCCCTTATGTTCTTGCTGAAGGTGTGACCATGTATGCACATGCCTTGCTTCGACATATCAGCTGAACACTGTTACCAGCGCAGTCAGCACCTCGGTCTAACAAGGGGAATCTCTTCCCACATAGGACTCTGATTGAACAAATAATAGAATCCAAGTAGATTTCAATACGGACAGAATTGAACTAGAATTTCGAAACAGCTGGCTTTAAATTCTTGACTCAAGCCTCATTCAGCTCCTTCTGAGGCTCCTTACAAAGTGCTTTACAATCATTATAAAGATACTTGTGAAGGCTCCGTGTCCTTGTGCAAATCCTTCCAAAGCTGCTTGCAAAGTTCCCTAAAAAGGCCTCTCATGAAGCTCCTTCATAAAGCTCCTTGAGATCCGACCAAGGCTACAGATACCAACAAGGATATTGTTTGCAAAACATGGTTGAACATAATTGAATAAAACAATCATTGATATAGAATGTATTCAGAATGAGAACTTGAAGCAAAACTCCTTTCCAACAATGATTGTCATGTTCATACCTTCCTTTAGTAGAATTTAATAGGGACATAATTTGTTTTTTAAGTATGATGGCCTTGTCCACAAGGGTCTTGATTACGTTTAACTTGAATTTGAGTAGACTTTTTTTAAAGATGGAACCTGGTTACAAGTGCTACTCTAAACAAATGGACTTGATGTAAATTTGCAGACGGAACTGAACACAGACACGAATTATATGCAAAGACCTGCTGACGAATAACGCTCCTTGTAAGGCTCCTCTCAAGGCTCCTTAGAAGGCTCCTTTTGCCAAACAGGACTTCGAATCAAGTGTCCTTGGAATTTGAACAGAACATATGAAGAACAAATGATGGACACTTTTCTGTTTTGTATGAGGGGCCTAGAGGGCATTCCTTGCCAAATATGACTTCAATTGTATATTCGTTCAACAGAGTTTAATCGAGGAGGAGTCTAATCTAAATTGCTTTTTGCGAATTTATTTTGATGATGCACTCCTTTGCAAATTGGTTCTCCGGACTTCTAGATGTGACATAACAAGGACACAGGTGACGCTGACTTGTTTGGCTTGCGATACATTGTGACATATGGGCGGGCTGAGCATACATAATGTATATAATATTATAATATAATATATATATATATATCCATGAGGATGGACCAACACCCCCGTTGTGGCTTTTTGTAATGAGGACTGAATACGAAGACATGTTTGGTGTTGCGGCACTGTGGTCGCGGAAGACTGCGGAAGGGCGAGCGGAAGTTTCGCGGAAGGGTATCTATATCATGGGATGAAGCCCACTCGCGTACTACACGTGTACTGAACAGTTGCAATGCTTGAGCTAGGGCCGCTTCTGTTCTTCGTCTTCTCCCTCCTCTTGCTCGTTCTGCTCCTTTTGCTGCCTACTCCTCTTCCCATTGTTGCTCCATTCCTCTCTTGCTTCCTGCTGCCTGCTTCACTTCTCTGTACAGAAACATACGTATGCTGCATGCTTAGACACACACACACACACAAAAGTGTGGTTTTACCTGCATTGCGGAAGTTCACCGAAGATCCATTGAAGGGCGAAGCGGCAGGCCGTTTTGGAACAAGGGATGTTGGACAACCAAATATGTGCATATATATATATATATTGTAGTCAAGGAGCCACGGGCGAATCCAATCCATGCAGTTCGCGTCGACACGACTCCGATCCGAGGCTAGACCGAGAAAATAAAGTGTCCTGGCCATAGAAGTGCTTGTTGTTCTTGATGCTGCTCTTGAAGAGCTGAGAGACACAGCCACAAGCAGAGCCACAGCCCCATCTTTCAATTCGACCACCAGCTTGCAGAGGCCGGCACGTTCAATCAATGAATGATATTGGACACAAGAACATGTGGAAATATGTATGTCAAAACCAGGGACCCCGTGCAAAAGGCTGGTTCCATGTCGATTTCAACATGAGTGAAGCCAAAATGGTCTATATAGTCATGGCTCGTTTTGACACAGAGCCTGGAAAAAAGATTCAAACACCAGCTCGGGTGTGCCTCATAGGCAGCCTGGTAGTCGTTCTCGCAGGGCTGGCGAGCGCATCAGTGCGAGAGAGGCAGGGAATGCGTGGAATGACCCTGGGTTTCCTTTTCGGGGATTTCCTTTTCGGGGATTTCCTGCATATTCTTCAAGGAGAACTTTTTGAAGTTTAAAAAACAAAAAACTCCTTTAAGGGGACCAAAGCCTGGGTTCATTCCCGCATTCCCTACCTATCGCCGGCAAGTAAAGGCCCTATCCAGAAGGCCTTTGGGAGGAGCCAATCTGGGCCTTCACAAACTTGGGGAACCACCACTGACGGGAAACGTAGTAAAAACCAAACGTCGAACTGCAAAAGCTGACTCATGCATCCGGTCAAATGCGCAACAAGCATGCGACCCGACCCGAGCAGCATTGGAGCTTTGCCTGACGGTTGTGGCCGGTGTACTTCCGGGACATCTTGAACCACCCGCTCTGGCGGTACTTTCCGAAGAAGCTCCTCGCTGGAAGAAATTTGTTTGCCAAGCAACTGCGCTTCTGAAGTGGCAAAAACCAATTCACATCATGGGCTAGGGCTCAAGGTCCTCAGAAAGAGGTCCTTCATGAACCTGAGTGATCAGGGATTGGAGAGTCCGCCAGACATGTTGTCGGGCACAAGAAGACCCCATCAGACACATTCCTTCCAGGCCCAAGGCCACCTCTCCACGGGAAAAATGCCTTGCTCCCGTCTGTGGGAAACTTGGGTGGCCTCCGGCTCTGCTTCGGGTTGGCCCACCGCTGGCGTTGTGTTTTCCGTCTGAGTTCCAAGCCCGGTGGGTGGCCCGCCTTTTCCGCTGATGGTGTCCTGGGCTGGCTGTCATGGAAACTCAACAACTGATAGTTGCTTGGCTTCCCTTCAAAACTATGCAAAAGCGGGCACCCTCAATCAAGACATCTATGAAACGGGCACCCTAAAGACCCAATCAGGAATCCAATAAGAGGGACATCTCCACACATTTTGGCGTGAGGCGCCGCGTACCACTCGTCCAGGTTGTCCAGCTTATCGCCATCCAGATCCACCCCCCGAAAGGGCGAGGCCACCCTGGCACGGCTTTCCAAAGCTGAATCCTGTATTTGCGGACCTGACATCCCCCCAGGTCCAAAAATCCGGAAAAGCGAAAACCAAACCACGCTGCTCTTCAAAAAAATAAAACTTCAATTTTAAGAGTAGCGTTCTTTGGTTTTCGCCTTTCTGGATTTTCGTGAAATGAAGTTGATCGCATTCAAGGCCAGAGCAGGGCTAATATGAAATGCCCAGTTCGAATTATGATTAATACGGGCAAACAAACGTCTGAGCAGGTACAGCAATAGATCCAACGCAGCCGACGGGCGCACAGCCGACGGGAGCAGCAGAGTCGAAAGACGAGGCAACGAGCCACGCCAGTGACGGCGCGGGCGACATCATCGCACGCACAGTCTGAGGTCACTCGTCCCGGAAGCGAGCAGAGCATGGAAGCCAAGTTGACGATCAGCCGGGACCGGGTGACGATCGCCAACCGAAACGACGCCCTGAGGGTCCTATGCGAAAACAGCTTCCAAAGCTCCACTCTGGTCAGATAAATCACTCAGGAGAACCCCCCTTAAAACTGATCATTTTCTGCATACGTTCCTTAAAAATGCGTCCAAGGGTCTCTGGAGCTCCCGAGTTTTTGACACAGCCCCTCAAGCTGCTCAGTCCTCATTTCTCCAACTGAGTCGGTCTTAAAGCCGGCCATGCCGATGCTGTACAGCCATGGCGCTGGCAGGTCTCTGGCGGGACAGCTTGCAAGATCTTGCAAGCTGACTCTCTCCGCATGAAACTTTGGGAGGGCAGCGCCCATCAAAAATGACACGTCGGACGCAGCGGCAGCGGCTGTAACGCTACGCGGTGGCTCCACTCTTTGGCCACGGTCAGCGCTTGGCGCGCCCGCGGCCGCGTGGCGCTCATAGGGCGCCGTCCCAAAACCTGCCAGGCGGAAGGGGGAGACGGGAGCTGTCTGAAATCAACTCTGATCCTAACCAGCAACTCGCACATGAGTGTTTAACGACTTGACAGAGTCAGAAACTACTGCAAGCCAATCGGAAATGTCCAAAAGTGTCTGGATGGGACTCGGGTGACATGTCAGCGTCTCATTTCATCCCAACTAAACAGCAGCAAACTACAAAAATGGTGAACTTGTGGGCCAAACTGGGCCTTGTTGGTACCACGAGGCGGAAATCCAGGACAATCCAAGGCGCATAAGTGGAAAAATGGGCTTTGAGGAACGTCGTGACTGGGATGAAAAAATGGCTGTGCAACCATCTCTTAATAAACTGTCCTTCCTTCATGATGAACATTCTGCGATCAATTGACTCAGTTTCAGAATGTGGCCGATGACAATACAATGAGAACATATAGGAGCCTAGGCTAAGCAGGGAGAGGCTAGGAAGTGGCGAGAGAAGGATTCATGCGCTAAGGCTTGAATATCTTTTTTAGCTTCATTGATGATCATTTTTGTAAAAATGCTTCTTGCATAAGAAAGGTGAGGGAAGATGGTCCAGCTCGCGGAATCATCCAGGGCACGCCAGAAGCCGCACAAACCGGAAAGGAAGGCAAAGGACGAAACATCCGGATTACTTTCGGATGTTTCATTAGACCGTAGTAGGAAAACTAAGCGAATGGAATGCCCGACCACCAGTCAAAATGCCGAATGCTTCAGTCCCCGTATCCTCGCCTGGAGAAGCTCCTTGGAGCTAGCTGATGATGGGCAGCTTGGTCAACTTCTCAGGCAGCGCGGTTCCCCTGGATGCCGAGGCTTGATCCAAGTAGACACGCTTGCATATATTTATAGGTATGTACACACATAAACAGGTATGTGTATATATATAATATACACATGTGTATACTGCGCCTACGTATACTGCGCCTACATGTGTAGACAAGCACAAAGTCCTGTTCCCTTTCTTTCTGCTAGTGCAAGAGCTCTACAGTGCGCTGCGGCTTCCAGCAAGACTCATCGGCCTGTTGATGGCCTTCTGCGCAAAGTCGGCCATGGCATTGGCATCTTCGCAGCTCCCCTCGAAAACCTCGAAGCTTCTGCGTTTCCTGGGATCGGTCGCGGGACCAAATCAATGAGCGGATGTTTGAGACTGGTGATAATGCAAATCATACCACATTGCCATGTGAGAGGAGCGCTGTCACGAACCAACATGTGAAGGGACCGATTCTTAGGGGAGCGCGATCCCAAGCTGTTATCCAACAACGCGCCGCGTTGACTGACCGTTCCTGCAACCAGCAGTTTGATGCCCACATCAACCCGTTGTCCAAAAAGATCCAAACAGAATGCAACATATTAATATTGTGCCAGGTGAAGCATCAATGAAGACCAGGGTGTGGACATACTGCCCACCACGCCCCGAAATCTCCGGTAAAGGCAACCGGCAAATATTGTTCGGACACGCGAGAAAAGCATGATCAAAAGGCACTGACAACCCGAAGCATGCCGAGACAAGACCTGCGGTCCAGTAAGAGGACAACAGGGCAAAGATTGTGTTTCTCCGGGCACAGTGTGCGAAGTCCGCCTGTCCGGCCGTGTTGCGAAGTGCACTTCTCTCCGGAGCGTGAGATTGATCATCACACCCGAGGAACCCGACACGACGGATTGTCCCAAAGATTGTCTAAATGCAGGCTTGGGGCGCAAGTGAACCTGACTTGAGGCAAAATTATACAGTCCATCTCAAGCAAGACTTCACTTCGTCACCCATGTTGGGATATGGGCCACGGGTATGGATCAAAATTAAACCATCAGGGGACCAGGTTTTGGTTCATGTTTCCACTTACCAGGGTTCCATTTGGGAGATCCCAGTCTGACGGGCTGTCCCAGGCGATTCATTGCAGAAACTGGGGTTTCCTGACCCTGAGCTATGGAGAAAGGGTGTGGATGGGAACGAAAGATTTGATGTTTTTCGCAAAACAAGCCAAGCTCGAACAATACCGCAAGTGTCAACCACAACAATGGTCTCTTGCAAGTGATATCATCCTGCCCAAAGAAATGGCAAAGTGCATTCACAGATTTGAATGAGTCCTGACTTCTACGGGAACCCTCCAACACGGGACCCCAAGACAGGTGGGTGTCCTGAAATATGAACCTCCTTCGCATGGAAGCCAAAGCCAATCATTTGTGGTGAAAGATCCACATCGGAGAATATATGGCTGTGGGTCAAAACCAATGGTACCATTTTGGAGTAGGTGCACCACCCATTGTAGTCTATTTTAGCGGGGATTGGGATGTTCGCTGGGGATACGGGCTTTCGAGCCGTGGCCATATCATCATAATGATCCGTTCGGAGTTTTACGAACCGCGACAGTTGAACATAAGAAAGTGTTCGGCTTCCGTTCCCCCGCTCACGGCCGTTTCCAGGGCTCGGCCGGTAGAGAACCACACGCACAGCAGGCTTCCGCAGCAGGCCTGCGCTTGCTAGGCCCGGCCAAGTTGTGTGAAACGCGACATGCACTCAAGGCGCAAAATGGCAGCCCTGGGTTTAGTGTGGAATCAGACCACTTTTGGAGGGGAACACCCACCTACTAATAAACTGGGGTTGATTAATGTGGGGTCAACATTGTTAAAAAAGACACCTGGCCATCGGATTCCACTCGCGTCCATCTGTCGGCCGTACGCCTCCAAGCAGCGAAGTGCCCTCGAAGGGCCGGGCAAAGTCTGGGTGCTTCTCTGCAGAGACCTACAGAAAGCAGGAGCAAACCATGAAAGATGGTTCCGAACAAATGCATTTCCCAAGAAGAGACCAGAGTCGGACGAGGTTGTTGTCGGACAAACAACACTGTAAGTCTCAAGGTCGGCGTAAATTGGGCCCAGCTCTAAGTGCTTCTTTGCATCGACAGAGCTTCGCACATCTTGTTTCAAGCAGCTTTGATATAGCTTTGATACTTGCAGCCCGCTCTGAGCCCCAGGCAGAGAATACCCGGATCGGCTCATTCCTTGGATCAGTCATGGGGTCAAACGAAACGGGTCAACGGTTCGGGGTGTCTTTCCTTTGCCGGTGGGCGCTGACTGAAGCGCGCTTGCGCAGCAAGATCAATCCACGCGAGCCAGTAGTAGTGGCACGGTGCAACCAGTCGGTAAACCTGGGGTCTGTATAATAGGTGGGCCCAAATTTAGACAGGGGTTTCGTGTGTGCAGTGGCGTGTGGCAATATTGGCCACAGCAGTTGGCCCTTGCTACACGAGACGAGAGGCTTCAGACGCTCTTTGGCGGCTGTGAGGGCAGAGATGGCGTTTTTACGCTCGCCCCGGTGTAGGAGCAGCAGGCAGAACCTGGGCTGTGCTCCCACTGACCTTCTACATCATGTCTCGTTGAAAGAAAACTGTGTGCCATTGAGCTCTCTTGTTTTTTTGCGGTTGAAAACCATTCGTAAACCGTTTTGCCTACATCTGGCTCTTCAACTCTTCATCTATTTTCAGGTCCTGGTTCTGCCACTGTTCGCCACAAGCCCCATGTCAAGCTCCGTTGCAGGCCAGCGGCTGCCCTTCACACGGATCTCCTGGCCGTTCATGCGAAACAACACGCCAAGGTAAGACAGCCGCTGGTTTCCCATTCAGCAAGAAGCTAGCTGCTTCCGTCCACGAGGAAGCCGGACAAACAAAGCGCAAAAGACACGGCACTGAAGTGTCAAGTGGGGTAAAATGTGACGAAGCGAGCCCGTGCACCTCCTTCGAAGTCGTCCGCTGTCAACTCCAACTGCTCGGCCAAAGCCTTCGCGACCTGGCGGGATGAGTCCCAATACGAACAGAAAATGAGACTGGCAACAAGGCTTGACATGGCTGGACCACCCCAAAGAATGATACTGGCGTACTTACTTTCCAGCCCTTGGTAGCAAAAAGAACCTTCTTTGCAGTCCCCCCCCCCTACAAAGAAACTGAACCAACAAAAACTAAAAACCAAAGAACAGGCCAACAACAGTGAAGGGTAAGACCGGGCAACTGTTAAAACCTTGCACGGATTTTCAGCTGAGCAATGCTCTTGCCACATGTGCATGCGGGTTCCACAGTAGGAGGTTGGTTCCTAGTTTCCCTTGAAGCACCATCCAAAGAAGGCTCATTTCCTACCAGTCCAAACCACGAACTGATTTGGTGCTTCTTTCAAGGCGGCCACAAGGATACAAGGATCGCAACAGGGGGGGCATGCCTATGTCAACTCATGTGGCTGTGGGTCAAAATTGATCCACCAGGGGACCGCAGGTTTTAGTCCATATTTCCTTCTACCAGGGTTCCATTTTGGGGTTACCCTATTTTTGACCCACTGCCATTGTAGCGCTGTCTGCAGCCTTCTTCTGGAGCAAGGAGAGGGACAGAGACGTCCCCGTGGAGAGCACCTTCTCTCGGCCGCCTTGTACCTTGCCGACTCATAGGGACCCGCGACCCCCACGTATGGAGCTCAGGAAGGCCCACCTGGAGTCTCCATGACCCTTAATTAAAAAATGGGGTCATTACCCCTTAATTCTGGGTAATGACCCCATTTTTTAAGGGTCATGGAGACTCCAGGTGTGGCTATGTGGAAACAGGAAGCCGCGACCGAGAGTGACGCATTACCTCCCTTGAGAAGCTGAGAAGCCTATCAATGACTACGTAGCCCAGAGGTCAACCTTCTATCTCAATTAATACGCAGGTCGATTGCCCGCAAATGCGCTTTCCCAACGGTACGGTGAACGCGGTCGTCTCCCTGGAGTCGATAGTAAGCCAGGAACATCCTCTAAAAACAAAAGCTACGCGATGGGTCCCAAAAGAAATTTAGCAAATGACTCAAGTACTATATTCGTCTTGATCAAAGCAACGAATGAGCTATCCGCACTCACCATAATATCCATTTAGGATTGCTAAACTCATCAACGCGTCTTTTCCCGAAACGATCACCCCAGCCCCCCAAGCATTTCAATCATAGATCCCCTCATTTCTCGGGAAACGAACCGCACAACCGAAACCACTTCGAGATATCCCCAGCCGCGATGCTTGATTCACTGCGATTGGCCTGACTGCCTGGTTGAGCTGGGCACAGCCTAACGCGTTGGCGCGCGGCATCTTTTGTGGTTGCGCAACTGAGTTGCGCAGGCCGCCGGGACCACAGGTAGGTTGCAATTGGGGTAAAACTGGCTGGCAATTGGGTTGCGAGCACTAGACACGAGTCAGTTCACGCTTCGCCAAGAGCCTCTGGCTGGCTGGCCGCACAAAACAAAGACCTCCCGCACCTGGCCCCGTGGATGCAAGATATCCTGCACACCCCAAGAAGCCCTAGAATGACTTGAGTCGCCTACAAATACCAACAAACAATGGCTTCAACAGTGCTTTCAGAACGGATTTCGCAAATCCGTAGTAGAACCCAAGCCAATTGGCCATGGGTCAAAATCCAAATCATACCGCCAGTGAACATCCCCTTCCCCACTAAAATCCCGACCAAAATGGGTGGTGCACCAAATCCCCAAAATGGGATCCCATTGGCTTTGACCCAGCCACAACTATTGACCAAGATGCAAAGAGGACTGCCGGGAGCTTGTCCGCGTACTCCGCGCACATGCCTCCAATGCAAGGCTTCCCTCTCAACCCTTCGGCTGAGAAAGCACGCGCCGCAAAAGCGCCGCCTTTTTCGGTAACAAAACCCCGGTGGCTGTACAACGGATCCGCTGGTGTCCGCTTCAAGTGAAGCTGAGTAGTCAAAGGATTTTCCTGAAAATGGGTTCATGTGTTCAATTCAAAACACACAAAGAAACCTCTGATTGATCCGGATGTAGATCCGAAGCTGACACTAGGCCTGGCCCCTTGTGGGCGACTGGATTCCTTGCATGCATCGCTTAATGCCGAGCCAAGCGCCCATGGCAGCTTTTAAGCACGGGAAAACAATGGCTTCAAAGCTGCGTGCAAAGAAGCCTGACTGTGCAAACATTTCGTGTGCGTCCTTGTAAGGGTACTTCTCCAGGTGTGCCTTGATGCCTCAGGATCTCGCAAACGAAGCTGCCACGGGGACAACACGCGGGGCTTCCGATCGGCTCGACTCGGTGACTCGATGCCGAGCCGCTGGGCAAAGATTTCACCTCCTGCACCAGGCCCTTCACCGGCTCGTGGCCTGCCATGAGCTGCTGGAACCTCGGCTCACGCCGCACGCTTGCATCGTATGAAGCTGCCGACTGCCTCTGCGCAAGGGTCTGGTCGCGGCTTGACAGTAAAAAAAAAAAATGGCCATCGCCACCACTGACAAAAAAAAGAACAAGGACTGAACTCGCATGCCAAACCGAAAGCAACGACCGCAACTCGTCCGCTCCAACCATCGCCCCCTTTGCGACTTGCCGCCGCGCGGCTGCGCCTTCTCCACGAAGGTCTCGACGCTGGACACCAAGTCGAAGATGGCGAGCTCCGCGAAGCTGAGGCCGAAGTCCGGGCACACCCGGCCGCTTGACAGCTGCTTATCCTGAGCTGGCCGTGTTGGATATGGGTATGGGATGGTATGGGGCAAAACCACCAATTGGATCATAGGCTTTGGTCTGAGCCAGCCGTGACACGAAGTCCATCTCAAGCAAGAGTTCACTTCGTCACCCATGTTGGAATATGGATATGGGTCAAAATCAAACCACCAGGAATTGCACCACAGGTTGAATCCTCCATGTTTTCACTTGCCAGGGTTCCATTTGAAGTACCTAATTATGTTTGACCCACAGCCACATAGCGCAACGGGAAGGCCAGAATCTTCCACAGCCCAATCACTTAACCCATTTCATAATTGAGCATGGCTCATGAAGTGAAATGGCAATATCAGAGGGCCCGTGTGCTCTTTCTGCACCAGGAACATTCGGCCTTCCTTTGGCCTTTTGGTCGTTCTAAAGTGACCCCAAGAGGATCGGCGAGCCACCATCTCCGAGAGCCAAGGTTGGAATGACACGAGCAGGTACTGCTGCAGCCTCACTCCGCGCTCCGATTGCTGGCGCGGGAACATGGACAGCTTTCCCGCGATCACGGTCCTCTCGAAGAACCTCAGAGTGGCAAACTCGTGGCCGGCTGATTCAAATACACCCAACAGGGGTCCATTTCGCAGAATGCAGCGGTTGTTTCCCTGACTTGATTCCATCGTCTGCCTGCTCTCCCCGAATGTTCCTTATGTCATGTTTCCCGATATGTTGCTTTGTTTTTCTCATCACTTCTGTTTCCCGGCTGTCTCCCTTCCGATTCTCCCCTTGTACTACTGCATTCCAGCCTTCAGCACAACCTACATTCCAAAATATCAGTCATTGCGTCAATTTTGGGACACCGGGGGCCCGGAAAGGGACTCCGGACTCTGCAAGAGGCCAAAGCCTGGCCCAAAAATACAGACACAACCAGCTCCTATCAGTAAAAAAGAAAAAACTTGGTCTTTCCTCCGGAGAACCGCACGGAAATGAATTATGTTGGGAATCAGGTGGTGAGATACAAGTCTTATCTCGACACATTGGCACATCAACATGCCCCAAAGTCCCGATGTTCGCCAGACGAAGCGCCAACTATCCTAGAGCTGTATGTCTTCGAACAACCTGCGAAATACGATGTTCGTAATCTCTGGGATCCGGGTAAGGCATCCGATCGTGAACCCGGCGCGTCCGAGTGTTCCAAGGATCGCCCTGCCCCAAGATTGACTCGATCCATATGCAACGTGCATTCTGCCAAAGCACGTGTCATAGACGAGGTCAAGCTGATCCCTCCAGGCATCGACAACCGCATCTGCCTCGGACTCCCTCGATCCGATCCCATGATTGCCCTTTGCCAATGGTTCTTTGGTCATACGCTAGCAGGTTGATTCTGGATTTCAATGGAAGACGCAATGGGTGATTGCATTTCTGAGGGGTCTCGGGACGTTCCAGCTGCTCGCAGGCTCCCTATTCGGATGTGTCCTAAACAAAGGACCCGCTTATGGTATTTTAAGAGAAACCCAAGGTCGACAAGCAAACCGCCATGCAGAGGAGCATGTCAGCTTGGCTTGGGGAGGTGAATCAACATATTTTCACCTTCTCCAGAATGGCAACAGATTCATGTTAACGAGCTCCTTTTAAAACCGAGCACATAAGGAAACACCACTGTCCTGGTCAAGCCTCCTTATGTGGGTCATGGTCTTCGGTCGCATGTCGAGTGCGCGGGGTGGGCACTTTGGCCCGATGAGAACGAAACAAGAGGGGTGAGACGAGTACCCTGACACCTTAGCAAGAAGGGACTTGAGCGTGGTCAGAATAGCATCGCAGTCAGCGATAGCATCGTGTACATTGTTAATAACAGGCTGCGAAGAAGCAACCACTGTGCATTTGGCATGCTGGAGAGGCAAGAGAAGGCGCTGCCGGCGCCCGCAACTGTAACCACAGAGCGCGCAGATAGTCACAGCCAAATGCCAGGAAGGAGTCCAGGCGTGCGCGACACAGTTGTCCAAAAAAAGGCGGTTCTCCCAAGAGGTGCAAATAAACGCCCATCCCGTAATAGCGCCACGAAATTGGACCGCAGCAACCTTGAGGGCCTTTCGAATAGAAAGACCGTCGAGAGAAACCCAAATGTCAAGGGGGACAGACTCGAAGGGCCTGAACTTCAGCGAATTTTGAATGTCGGTACAAATAGAGGGACTGCTGGGATCAAGAGTAACGTCAGTGTCAGGCGCAAATGTAAAAGGACGCCTGCGCGCGAGAACAGTTGGAGCAGCAGTCTTGCAAACAAGTCTCCTACGAAGGGTAAATCTGTCAAAGAAAGGGTTGTTTCTCCAGTTGGCAACGCGCAACACCACGTCTTCAAAAACCACATAGATTTTGGAGGGATGTTTGCCAGAAGCAACGTATTCATCATTAATATTGCAAAGCATACGGAAGGCAGCCGGGAGGATATCATTCCTAGCGAGTCTCCACCCTTGTCGCATAGCACCTGTGCTGGGGAAGCCGTTGAGGACATTAAGGAGTCTAGGCTCAGCATGCAACTGAGAGCTGTCGAAGTCCTGAAAGTGCAGCAGAGCAAGCTTCTCCCATAATATCTTGAAACGCCAGGTAATTTCCTTCATGGTACTTGTAATGGCACGGGCATTGTCCATGAAAGAAACATCAGTCCCACAAAGAAGGATACAAAAGAGAAGAAGTTCCATCCAGGTAGGTTCACGTCCAGGTTGATGATCAGGTTCATATTTGGTCCAGCTCATACAGGTGGAAATAAATTGAAAGTCACGAAGTTTACCACCTCAAGAGATGTACTGGGTAGATATTGGTGAAAGGGGGATTCTCAGGGTCCAAAATGAGCTGGGGGTGGATCATAGCGGTCATGCAGGAATTGCCGATGTCTTGACTGACAACGTCACCAACAACTGCAGAATTGACAGGGTCCTGGTTCGAAGGAGGCCTTGTATCGGCTCTATCATGAATACCAATCGAAAAAAGGGCACGATTGCGCTCCTCCCATTCCTGTACCAACGAACAGGCATCCGTCTGAATCTGTTTCCAATCCTGCTTCGTCTGTTCAGAAACATGGTTGCTACAAACAAGGAAATGACTCATCTAAGCGGGCCAGGAATTCCACTGACGCCAAGAAGTAGTCCAATTTGCTCTGAGAAAGTCCCAGATCGGACAAACATGTATGTGGATCATGGTCATGGTTCCCTCGATCGGACAAACATGTTATGCTGCCCAAGTACGTGGGCCTTCCGAGCATGGTACAAACGCCTGCCTTGCCCTTCTGTTTTTGCTCCCTCTGCCATATCCAGTTCTCAATCGCTTTCCCCTGTGAAAGGAGCCTTCATGGGGCCCCAACTTGGCATATTCACTGGATCGGTGAGCTTGCCAAGCATGGAGCAGTGTGATTGGTTCTGAGATGAGTGAAAACACTGGCGGATCAAGGATGCAGGTTGCGCACATCTGTGGCTTCCTTTTAGCTTTCCTTCAACCACCTCCGAGAAGGGGGTCTCACTTTGCTTTGCAAAGCCTTTTATGCAACCCTACATAAACCTTACCCCGAAGAAGCTGCGAAAAAGTGTGTTCTCTGGTATGAGACTGACAACCTGTCCATAAAAGTTGCCCAATTCCCAGCAACACCAGGCGCAAACGGTTAACCGGTAAACGTCAGGTCCCGAACGTCAGGCTCGTCACGCGCGAGAGGAGACTTTACTCCGCGCCTTGCAGGCGCTCACGGGCGTTTCCGGGTAGAGCTTGGCGGTTCTGGCGGCCAGGCGGGCGATGGCGCAGGACTGGCCCAGCAGCTCCTCTCGAAGGCGTCCCCGGTGCTTTCCCCAGGGCTCAAGCGACAAGAGCTTGGTTGACGTTGGAAGGGGAGCGCACAATTTTGAATTTTAGCAGTTAAGTGGTTGGATTTCAACCACTAAACCACAAGAAGCCACAACGTAAAATGCTTCCCAACAACCATGAGCGAGCAGTGCGCCCCCTAAAATGGGGTGAAACAACTGAGCCTTCACGACTGGCTGCAACATCTAAACGGGAGGGACTCCCCCCATTTTGGATGAAAAGAAGGATGGTTTCAGAAAAGCACGGCTGATGACAAAGAATCTCCAAAACGCGGACCTGCTTTTGGATGGTACACATTTATGCCACTAGCGATAAGGACGAGTCGAAACCGAAGGTCTAGAGTGGCGGGCGAAATTGAGCCTTTAGCTCAACCCCCGCAAAGAAGTGACCCTCCCACCAAATAACATAGAACCTGACAGGGGGTCCCTTATTTTTCAGGACCCCCCGAACGTCAGGTTCCATGTGAAGAGGGTGAGTAGGGTGGACGGTGCATCGAAACCTCTCCTCGCCCACTTTTAGAGTGGGGATCTGGCTAAAGGGCAGCTCCCCGGCGTCCCGGCGCCGCAGGTACTCAGTGAAGCCTCGGGCATTCAAATTTGAGAGGCAGGAAATGAGACATTTCTAGTCGTTCTTTTCAAAACGAGCTGTTTCCCAGGGTTTTGGGTGGTTTTGTAGAAAGAAGGATGCCTGGAAAGAATGGGGAAGGTACCCCTAAAGGAACCATCCAACTGGTGTCCTTTAAGGGAATCCCGACTTCCCAAACCCGGGGGTCATTCCCTACTGAGCACCAGCAAGATTAGACTTGTCCAACCTAGAAAAGTCACACCAAAATGAAACTCACTACATTGGCTCAACTAAAAGGTGCTGCATCAACTATCCAATAAGGAAGTATGGCGGGGCCCTGTTGTTACTCATGCTGATCACCCTTTCCGTGATACCAATATGGGATTGCCTATACCATTGACAGCCTATTCACTTGTTCAAGACAATTCAAATGGCATCACAATATGGTCAGAAACACTTTTCTCACACTTCTCCGCTTACTTGTCAAACATGTAAAAACTACTCTCCTGAAGCATGCTTCATGCATGGTCGCGGGGTCCCTCGTTAGCCTTCAAGAGAGTAGGGAAGCTCATAAAATGGTGTCATGCTGATATAGAGGTGTGTGTGTATATTGTGTGTTCCCTAGGGCTGGTTTTTCTCCCGGCGGTGGTTTCTCTTTGGCAACATCCCCAGCATCACCTGGCCGGGGCCTTCCTGCTTGCCGGGTGGCCTCACTTGAACTTAGGGCTTCCCATTGGTCCAAATCGACCCAAACGACATGGCACCGATGGGCACATTGGCCGTTCGGACACATTGGACAGCAGGGCCAACATGAAGCCGGGGCCCAAAGTCAAGTGCAACAAAGGCAGAAAGAACCCTCTCGAAAGTGGACGCTTGAGGTGTTGGGGCGTTTCCTCCTGCGGACGCCAAGCAACTGATAAGCTCGTCCTCGAAAGCCACCTGGCGGCAGAGCTATGTTCACACATTGCCGCCTGAATGGAGAAGCTCGATGTCTTTTGAGGGGCGAGAATGATACGACTTGCTGAGAAATCAAGCTTGCAACCGGGTACACCAACTGCACGGCACCGGTGCCGGGCCCTCTTTCGCCCTGCTTGGCGCCTCGCCCAGGGCGAAGATGAGGCGAATCAGCTCGTTGCGGCCCTTGTTGTCATCGAAGTACGTCAACACCAGCGCCATGAAGGCTCGAATTCAAGCGGGTTTCCCTTTCACTGCTTAGCCACCTGAGTCACAATCAAAACCCGGTACTAAAATGGTCTACCCAGAACCATGTAAAGAACTATAAAGGCGGCAGCAGCTGTTTATTCTTGCGATCGTCCTGTACTAAGCTTCATCTACCTGGGCTTTGATTGTGGCTCACCCGGTGCCTCGGTGGTGCACCCTTTCTGTTTCGCTTTGGAGGGGCAGAGGTGTTTGCAACGCAGACTTGTTGGGAACACTTTGCGGGACTCGGGCATGAACAAAACAGCCCTTACTTTGTAGCTTTCGAGATAGCCGATCTGAAGCGGCTGGCCATGGCTGCACATCCTGACATTTCATGTCATTGTCACTCATGCACATTTGTTCGAGCCGGAACAGCTCGAGTTCGATGAAATAATCACAAGCATACATTGAACTCGTGACAGGTCGAAATGATAACACAGCCTCAACGTTCTCTTGCCACAACGTTCTCTTACGACCTTGGACTCTGAGAAATGATTAATTCATGTTTGGCTTGCCAACGACAAATTTGAACCCCCCCCCCTCACCCCTTTTCCTTAGAACCCTATCACTTCCGCATAGCCCCCCGAGTTGCACGCTGCATCCGCCTTGCCGACGCTTGCATTGCACCGCTGCGGCGGTTTCCTTGGCGGCCAACTTCACGTAGGCCTCGGTTCCCAAAAGAAGCGCGCGACACAACGTCCTGCGCCACAATGTCCTGCGCTAGAGGTTGTTTATCAACCAGTATAATTATTCATATTTACTTTGAAACCACGGCTGAAGCCATTCTTTGATGGCATTTTTGCACGGGAATCGACTCATTCCAGGGCTTCTCAGGTGCAAAACGTTTGTCCCATCCACAGGTCCCAACTGTGAAGATCCAGCAACTGTTTAGCACATGGATTCCGCCATCATAGAGCTGAAAAAATTTGTTGGACACCGGCCCACTGACAAATAAGGATCTGTCAAATGTCAGGGTGACAGGGTGAACCTGGAGGAGTCTGCGGTTTGGGCCCTGCCGTCCGCGTCCGCTCGGTCCGCTGGCTCGCGCCCTCTGCGCGCCTCGCGGATGCGGTGGCAGGCCTCCGGGCAGCTGCGGCCGCCGCTGGCATAGAGCAGCACCAGGGCGGGCCCCTTGCGCCGCAGCGCCTGCGGCCAAAAGCTCCGAGGTTACATGTAAACCTAAGAAGAGTCCAGAGATAATGCGTAACAAAATAGCAAGTCCGTATAATAATAATAATAATAATAATAATAATAATAATAATAATAATAATAATAATAATACTAATAATAATAATAATAATGATCATAATAATGATAGTAATAACAATAACAAAAACAATAACAATAATTAATAATAATAAGATTCCAACAATAATATTCTATTGGCTCAAAAGAAAAGAAGCCGCAAGGTTGTCAACCATATGTCGGAAAATTGGCGAACATTCAAGTGCCAGCACCCTGCAAGGGTGGTCCATGTGTACCTGCAGTGCTCACACAAGCGAGCCATTTTGGGAACAAATGGACCACCTTTGGGTGCTGGCAATTGAATGTTTGCCAGTGTCCCAGCTTAAAATCATGTCTTCATCGGTTGATATACTTGATATTTGCCCACGACGGAATCACCCCTCCTTTTGGGGTTAAAGGGGACCAACATGACACCAGTTTCTGTCATATAAACCAAGCTGACGCGTTGACACCATCCCGCCCTGCAGCGTGAATCACCTGGAGTTACCTAGAGTCAAATTGTCGGGACACAAGGGTGAACCCACACAATGGCGAGCCACAAATATGTTTTCCCCGTTCCTTACTCTTTCCCACTCTCTTCGTCTCTGATGTGATTTGCGAGGCAACCAAGGTGTGGAATGAGCGAGCAGAGTGATAGGATTCTGGCTGCCGTCCCTCCAAGAATCTGCAACCGGTTCAGATTGGTGTCCCTTGACATTGACCGCTACACTAAGCAAGGTCCACCTTTTTTTTCGAATATGCTGCGTAGAACAGAAGCTGCAGGCAAACATGGGCAAGGAGATCGCACGCCTTGATCTGCGCATCGTGATCTTCGAAGGCCAGCTCCTGCCAAGCATGAATCCATGCAGCGGCCATTGCGTCCCTCAAGTTATGATCCACCTTCACGCTGGCAGAATGAAGTAGGTGTTTCCAAACTCAGAGAACCCGCTTGCTGTGGTGGGCGTCCCTCTTTGAGTTCTTTCTGCCACAAAGGGAGCTTGTTTTTTGATCCCAAAATCGGGGATCCTCAAACAAAGCACACCCAAGACTTGTGGGCGAATTCTGGCTTGGCTATGAACTTGGAGAACCCGATGCGGGGCAAATCCTGTCCATTCATCCACCAAAGCCTTTGCCCCCAATCCAAGTTCATGCCAATTTGGTTGTGATTTTCAGGGGACCCCCCGACAAATGTGGTTCCCACCACACA